ACCTCAGCAGATAACGAGGCAGACAAGTTATCTCGCGGCCTCGATCCTTCAAAAGGAGACCAACACTTAGTCCGAATAAATATTCCAAGCGACCTCTCTGATCTCCTCTTCCAAGTTATCCCAACACCCAAATCACATCAATTATGAATACCTCAGAACGTACACTTCGAAAAGTTAGTCCCCTGGTGTCAGGGCGTCTGGACAAAGCTGGCGAGATAATGCTACGCCATGGCTGGGCGGCGTCCACGATGCGCCAATACGCGGCTTCCGTCAACAAGTACTTTCTTTTCAAATGTACATCCCAATTCTCCTTTCCAGCAAGAACAATTGATATCTACAAGTTCATTCTGTGGTGTGGCGACCCATCCAATCCCGACTCAGTAATAAATGAAACGACCAAACGATACCTAACCGGTTTACGTATGTGGCACTGTTTGCATAACGTCCCGTTCCCAACCTTGAATACCGACAGACTTTGGATCATTCTGAAAGCAAGCAAGAAACGTGAGCTAGGAGTTGTCAAAAGAAGAAGAGATGGCCTGACGCTACCCAACTTGGACTTTCTTATGACCCGCTTACGAGGGATATCGCTACCGAACGTGACCTTACGAGCGCTCTTCCTGGTGGCTTTCTGGGGTCTAGCTCGTCTCGGCGAGTTGACCTTACACGAAGATCACCCAACCATCTTTGTTCGTCGTTGCGATGTAAAATTCTCCAAAAACGACAGCTCTGCGACTATACGTTTACGCATGGCGAAAACAGCACTCCCTGGTGAAGTTCAACTGCTACGCCTCCAGAAGCAACCTAACCATTTAGACCCGGTAACAGCCTTGAGACATCTCCTCGCAGCGTCAGCCGGTCTACCATCTGATCCTCTTTTCCGTGGAATATTACCTCACGAGCCTATCCGACGGTCCACCATTTTGGCCGTACTGAAACACCATCAGCCGGCTTCTTCAAGGTGGTCTGGCCACAGCATGCGCATAGGAGGCGCGTCCCTACGCGCAAATCTGGGTTGTTCATTGTCTGCACTGAAAAGTGTCGGTCGGTGGAAATCATCGACTTACAAACGATATGTACGACGCTACCCACGTACGCTCCTAGATGACACATTGAGGCTGGCACGTCGGATTAGCACGGTGCCTAGATTACGTATGTGGCACTGTTTGCATAACGTCCCGTTCCCAACCTTGAATACCGACAGACTTCGGATCATTCTGAAAGCAAGCAAGAAACGTGAGCTAGGAGTTGTCAAAAGAAGAAGAGATGGCCTGACGCTACCCAACTTGGACTTTCTTATGACCCGCTTACGAGGGATATCGCTACCGAACGTGACCTTACGAGCGCTCTTCCTGGTGGCTTTCTGGGGTCTAGCTCGTCTCGGCGAGTTGACCTTACACGAAGATCACCCAACCATCTTCGTTCGTCGTTGCGATGTAAAATTCTCCAAAAACGACAGCTCTGCGACTGTACGTTTACGCATGGCGAAAACAGCACTCCCTGGTGAAGTTCAACTGCTACGCCTCCAGAAGCAACCTAACCATTTAGACCCGGTAACAGCCTTGAGACATCTCCTCGCAGCGTCAGCCGGTCTACCATCTGATCCTCTTTTCCGTGGAATATTACCTCACGAGCCTATCCGACGGTCCACCATTTTGGCCGTACTGAAACACCATCAGCCGGCTTCTTCAAGGTGGTCTGGCCACAGCATGCGCATAGGAGGCGCGTCCCTACGCGCAAATCTGGGTTGTTCATTGTCTGCACTGAAAAGTGTCGGTCGGTGGAAATCATCGACTTACAAACGATATGTACGACGCTACCCACGTACGCTCCTAGATGACACATTGAGGCTGGCACGTCGGATTAGCACGGTGCCTAGATAGAGCGATTTTCCCTATTCGTTGTTGTAACGCATTAGTTCTACATACCTAGTTGGTGTTTTGTTTGCAAGTATTTTATGGTTCGTCCTTGATGTGACTCGCCCTTGTCCTTTGTGAGTTGGAACCGTCTCCCCAGAGCTCAGTCCCTACGAGGACGGGTTGCGAGACCCTTCGCAGGGTCTCGGCTCTTCGATCCTTCACTCCCTGTGAGTGGGTTCGAAGGGTCTCTTGCCCGTCCCGTGGTGACTTTCTCTCTTACGTGCGCTTTCATGAGTTTGCTGAAACTCCTCTCGTAAGCGCCGAGGAGAAACTCTAGGTTCCTCCCAAAGCTCGCCTGCCTCACTCTTGCGTCAGCAGGAGCAAGGCTGGCTACCGCATTGACCTTAGAGGCAGTCACTTGAGGTTACGAGGTTAACTCGAAACCTTTTTGTCCTCTCACCATCCTCTATCCTCCCTTGGAGAGAGAAGGACATGGATGGTAGATTAGTGACGACGGGACTAGGAATTAATCCAGTCCATGTCACTGATCGGAAAGCTCTCCGCATGATCAGGCACTTCTGCGATCAGGCGGACTTCGCTCTGAGCGGCTCTTGTCAGCGTACAGCTGCCCTGCCGGTTTGGCCCTGAATTACCTCTTCAGGCACGACCGTGAGAAGGCTTCGTGAGTGTTTCACTCACTCCCCTCGGAAGAGATTGTGAACTCATCTCCCTTCCTTCACTTCTCTTTCGAGTGCCTCTCCTCAGATCCTTTCTCCCGCTTCAGAGGAGACTTTCCGACGGGCATTCTCCTTTTTCGAACCCACATCATTGCATGCCCTCCCACCCTTGGTTCGAAGGGTCTCTTGCCCGTCCCGTGGTGACTTTCTCTCTTACGTGCGCTTTCATGAGTTTGCTGAAACTCCTCTCGTAAGCCCGAGGAGAAACTCTAGGTTCCTCCCAAAGCTCGCCTGCCTCACTCTTGCGTCAGCAGGAGCAAGGCTGGCTACCGCATTGACCTTAGAGGCAGTCAC